GCAGCATCTACATGTGTACTGCAGCAGAGCTTTCTAGTCTGCAGCAGGACAGTACTTGCAATTACAAGTACTATCCTGCTGCAGAGTAAATTGGTGTAGTCCAGCCTAATTGGGGCACACATGTAGACACACAACATTTACTGCACAGCTAATTAGTCTACTGCGCAGTAAATGTCTTAACGCACCCACAAGTATACACAGAAGCTTTAATCACACTAGTATTGACACACCTTGGTTTCAGAGATCCTTGATCTCCAGGGATGCATTATATGCAGAGAATCTACCATGCTTTCAAAGAGTTGGCCAGCTCTTCTCCCCATCTCCCATGAAATTGCCCTGATTTATTCACTTTGGAATAACTCCTTGGCATGGACTAAGTGGTTTACATATTACCAGCCCCCAAATTATGCCTTTGTAAAACAAACAGCCCAAATCCAAAGGGAAAACATTTGGTTTTTGCCTCAAAGCTGGAGAAAACAAAATGCAAAAATCACAGGGAATAAATTAATGTTTCTCTTTAATATACAACAATTGGCTGAACACAGCTTGGTAACGATAAATATATGTATGCATTGTAACTTGCACAGTATATCGACTATACTGGGTAGACCTTTGTATCTTATTGTATTACCAATCTTCACAGGAACCTAAATGAAACTTGGCATTTTAATTTCATGTCTGGTTTATTAAAAAAAAAAGAACTCTATTCTATAGTGTCAGGTTATTCTGCAATGAGATCTGTTTCTCTAAAGAACATCATAACTTGCAGTTTACAAGTCCAGTTCTATGCTTAGACAGCTGTATTTAAGTTAAATGGAACATGAGCAACCCTGCAATCTATATAAAAAGACTTGTTTTCTACACATTTTAAAGACAGAGCAATAAATCAAGATTCCACATGACAAAAGTGCAAGAGATCTTCCTGCTTATAGCCTGCTACGTTAAATGCTCTTCATAGTACATGCTGGTGATTAAAGGGCAAGAAGGTGTCTGCCAGGTAATCACCTCAAATGATATTTTAGCATTATTTATGGTTTCCCGTTATTTTCAAGGTAGGATTTAAAAAGCACCTAGGAGATAATGCTGAAACAAATATTGGAAAGGCTATTTTTTGTCCCCAGAACACTTTGCAACAACTGTATTTTACAGTAAGCTTGCTGTCCTGTACAATAACAAGATTCTTCAGCTGAAACATAAAATGTTATCCCATTGTGCCTTTCATTGCTCCAACACTGTGTGTGTTAAGTTAATTTTTTTCCGTAAGAGAATATAGTCTTTCCTTTTAAAGTAGCTCAGCTTTCACTAACAGCGAAACAGGAATTTGCAGGTACACTGTACATGGGTTAAGTGCACAGCAGGAGACTGAAGAAAAAGCTAAGTTACATACCCAGAGTATGCACTTACCCAAATCAAGATAACCAATATTCATTAAGTGCACAGAGCCCTAGCATTAGGAGCCCTGACACAGACTAGCTCCCATCACTTTCAAGGCTTCTCAGTTTCGGGACTTGAAAAGAAGTCTTGGAAAATGACTAGCTCCTGTCATTTTCAAAGCTTCTAATAGCAGCCATGAAACTGCTTGTCATTCTTCAAGACCTTTAAGAGCAGCCCTTTGATAGCTGCTTTCTCTTTACTCCTGGCTCCCATTATTACAATTAATTTACAAAGTGGACATTGGAGCGAAAGGATACTACACGCTTAAGTGGTTTATGCACTTAACCAATATGCATTTGACAAGAACTGATTTTTTTTATAATGTAAGCAATCGGCCAAAATAACTGAGACTGGCACGGTGTTGTGCTGTTGAGCGACGCACACATTCACTGTGATTGTGAGAACACTGGAATTGATCTTTGTGATGTATGCCAGAGCAATCAGAAGCACATCTCCTATTCACCTAAATACTTGGAATTTAGGCCCAAGTGGGAGAGCCTACAAAGTGCTCAGCAATCCAGGCCAATTCAGGAAAAGTTTCCTAAATGTTAAGCATGAGCAATCCCATTCAGCGATCTACTTCCATGCCAGTCGTGAAGCACATGGTTTGCCAGCTCAGTACATGGCAAGTATCAGCGGTCCAGACATTGCTACCTTTTGACTGTATAGTTTCTCTTCCTTACCAACTGTGAAGGTATTTCTAAAGAAGTCAAAGGCTGCCTTTCTCAGGATGATTGCAACCTGTCTAATGTACGGTCACACACCATATGGTGATCAGACGTACTGGAATGCTCTTAGGGAAACTTTCGGATAGACTCATAAGCAGGGATGGGTACTTTCTTCCATTGCGAACAGTTGCACATACCAGGGGAAAAAATGTGAAGAGAACTGAGGCTTAAAGCAGCTTCATCCTGTTCAGTTCTGATTCTGTTGTGTGGCTGAACCCTTGCTCTGGGAAAAAAAACCCTTCAGGAACCAGACAGTGGGAGCTCCATCATGAGGCATAAAGTTTTATTCAGAATTAGAAATTGTGATCTGTACCATCACAAATAGCTGCCTTTCAGTATGCAGTCCCTATGCATCCACAGCATTTTTCTGAGTCAAACCTGCATGATTTATAGACATGGAAATCCTTCCCAAAAAGTTTTAATCATAAGTACGTGGCATTGCCATAAGCAAGACACCCTACAAGACAAGCATTTACCTCTGGAGGCACTGAAAGCATGTTGATTGCAGGGAATCTGCAAGTAACCCACAGCTTTTCCCATTAGAACTGGTGAGCCATTTTCTAGTTGAAAGCTTATATAGCAAACCTCTGGGAAAGGTCTGATAATATTGTTTGTTATGTGAAATCTTCAACCGGTGTGAATTTAATGAAAATATTTACTCCAATAGATGCTGTTTTATAAGGCATTTAAGCATGTTAGTGGCATGTGTGGGCTTAACAAATGCAACAAAATTTGTTGCTTTCGCAATCTAAATTAAATGTAAATCCACCGAATATGTTTGTCTTGTTTGTAAATTTTCTCATTAAGGAATGATTATAGAGATCTGCAGAAATCCTGGGGCAACCACTCAGTGAAGGACTGTTTTCATACATTTTTTCTCGGTTTTAAATCATCTAAGCCATAGGGGTTTCCACTGTTTCCCTTAAAGCAAATAGTCCACTGTCTGAAAGGCAGCAGGCTGATGTATTTAACACATCTCAAACTGTGGTTCACAGAGCTGCTTCTGTTCCTACGTGCGAAACATGTCAGTCTTCAAGCAGCCATGCTAGTAAGCAGTAGGTGCAGCGAGAGGAGCTACCTGCACCCAAATAAGGGCTCTTTTATGGTTTCCAGAAGCCATTTGGACTTTCAAATCCTTCTGTACACTTTGTGCTGCTTCTGCTTCCTCTCCCGTCTGTTAGATTTCTGCAGGAAACCTTCAGCTGTGATCGGATTTGTGGATGGCACCAAACCTGGTGGGATAGTAAACACGCAGGAGGATGGAACTACAAGTTCAGTGTCTTCATGAAGGCAGTTACCAAGAGAAACCTGGCAAGCAGCATGGAGAAAATTTGTACAAATCATTCACAATCCATGAGGATGATAACCCTGGGGGTGGAGGGGTCCTTAACAAAGAGGATCATTGTGATTTTTACAAGAAGAATAGCACTGGAGTCACAGCAGAGGGATAAAATTAAATATTAAAAAGTGCAAGGTTGTGCACTTGAGAGATTGATCACCAGAATTGCTGTTAGATGCTCATCAGCTGGGAACACCTGAAAAGGGGGAAGACCTCAGGCCACTGGCTGCTCACAGGTCCGGGGGTTTTGTTTCAATCAAAGACAGGGAATACCACGGTGCAAGGCACCAGAGACCCCAGCCGGGTGCAATTCTGATCGCTCCTGTCCAGGAAGGACAGCATCAGATGCAGAGAAAGGCTCTTTGGGTGGAACAGGCAAGTCCAAAGAAGCGTGGCTTGCTCGACGCAGTGAAACGAGGGCTAAAAGGGAACAGACTCGAGCCCTGGAAATACCAGGTGGGGAGAAGGGCAGGGTAGCTCTGCACCTGGCAGATTAACCAGAGTAGAGATAGACAGATAGCGATAGATTAGCAAAAGTGATAGACAGCGATAGATAGCAGTCCATCTATTGATCGACTGATTGAGAGCAGTGATAGCGATTGATACAGCTAGCTATTGACAGGTAGCAAGACTAATGATAGCAAGAGCTATAGCTACCCATGGGCACATATACACACCACCAGAGCTATAGGCAGACAAGGCATTTTATACGTGGATGCGCCATGCCGGGGATCCGCCGCTTCCGAGCAGACCCGACGCATCGAGCCTGCTCCGCTTGTGAGCTGAGGCGCGCTGCGCCGCACGCACGTGTATAAGCAGCAAAACGTTGCGAAAAGCGGACGGTGCGCTTTTGAACAAAAACACCTCAGAGGTGCGCTCGTGTACAAGCGCGCCCCCACTTTCTGCGCGCTGACGTGCATTGCGCCACGTATACAACCGCACGCTGCGTGCCTCAGCTCACGGGCAGAGCAGACGCGATGAATCGGATACGTAAATCAGTGCATAAATGCCCACAGTGATTAGCAATAGCTCGCTGTGTGCATAGGTAGGGATGGAAGAGGTAGTGATCGCCGGGTCGTTAGCCAAAGGTAGCATCTGATTAGCAGTAGGCGGCTCCAGCCAACTGTGGATGGAGACCTGTCATGACAGCCATTAGCAATAGCGACCGATTTTTTTAAAAAAGCAAGAGGCAGCTGGAGCCAGCGAGGGATGGATCCAGAGACGAGCAACAGCTAGCGATGGCTACAGCCGGCTGCGGGG